CAGCAACATTAGCACAACGAAAATAATTTTATGGTTGGGTCACAACATGAGGAACTGTATTTAAAGGGCCAGAAGGTTGAGAACCACTGGTTTAGAGAGAGAGCTTTGTCCTCAGCACTGTGTTAGGTCTTGAGAAACCAGAGATTTAGATGAGAGTATTCCATGCTAGAACCCACAGATTAGGGGAGGGAATAAGACACTGAAACGCTGGTGTAGGATAATAAGCGGTTCAAGAGTGCAGAGGACCGCCCTAACTGGTTTGGCTCAGTGGATAGAGCGTCAGCCTGCGGACTGAAGGGTCCCAGGTTCGATTCTGGTCAAGGGCATGTACCTTGGTTGTGGGCACATCCCCAGTAGGGAGTGTGCAGGAGGCAGCTGATCGATGTTTCTCTCTCATCGATGTTTCTGGCTCTCTATCCCTCTCCCATCCTCTCTGTAAAAAATAAAGAGTGCTGAGAACCAATGGGGGACTCTCTCATGAGGGCTAGCGTCTTCTCCCTGGATGTTTCTGAAATGCCTACTATCACATGACTCTTGCTAAATATCGTTATTTAAAGTCAGTTCTGAAAAACATTAGTTAGAGTTGGTTCTAAAAATAACTATGGACATGCTACCGAAAATAAAAAGTCAAGCAACCAGTTGCTTTGCGGCGTTATGCCGCAAACTCATTGCTTAACATCGATTTCACTGAAATGACTAAGGGCAGGCATCTTAGAAGTGTGTGAGCACAACTAGGAAGCCAGCATCGTTCTGGCTTCCTAAGAACCTCGCTGATCTAAAGCAACGGCCGCTACACACAAACGCTGGTTTTTAAAAAGGAAATTCAAAAGATGACAGACATTTACTAAAGCTGTGAAAATTTACAAATTTCTTGTTATTGTATTACTGATTTTAGATTTCAAGTCTCTTTACAGTGTTTTTATTACGTTGATACGAAGGATTTTCTTTATGGGTGCTTTGAGTGACTGACAGTTTGCTTTTACATCTAACTTACGTGTTATTTTTTCAAAATTTTAATCATCAGAAACAAGCCTTTATATTCTTGGCAGATTGAATGTGTTATTTCTCACCTCCCCCTTCCCCCCCAAAAAAAGTCCAAATTTCTTTTCTATCAGTCTTGGAATAAGAGAAATTAGGGTTTGATTGATGACTTTAACTAATAGATTTAGTAAGCATATTGATCTTTTTCCATGATCAAAAGTCTTCGTTTTTTGCCAAAAAAAAAAAAAGTTACCTTTCAAATCCATCACATGATACTGTGGGTGAGTCATAGCTCCTTTGTCATTTCTAAGAATTGGTTAGCACTATTGTTTTTCTCCTCTTTCCTTCCTCTTCCTGCTTTTTTAAACCTCACACCTGAGCTTCAGGTGTCCTCAGCGCCCTCCCACATAATCCAGCCAGAGAGTTGGGTAACCTCTCCAGGAGGCCATGGCTCTCCTAACAAGGGCCTTTAGAATTCTCTTCCCTGTTCTATATATTTCTTTGGGCCAAAATCCGTGGCTGAAATTCAAGGTTGTAGCCATTGCACTTGAGCAATCACATTCCCATAAGTCACCCAGTGTCAAGGCAGGCCAGACGTGCGGCTCCTGGTTTGTAAATCGGTATGGTCAGTTCTTGTTTTGAAAGGGTAAATTTGTCCCAATGTGACTGGGATGTGAGGACCAATGTGAGGAGAACACAAATTTTGCATTTACTTAGGTGCTTTTCATCAGCGGGGAACACGAGGCTCACACACAAAACTGCACTCTGATGAAGGGAGCCATCCAGGGGTAGGAAAATTCCACCAACACCGCAGGTCACAGGGAGGTGAGCCACGCCCATCCACACCTGCTGGTACCTTCCGTTTCAACTCAGAGAGCGCTCTGCCCACCAGGTCACAGTAACTCACATGCAGCCCTCCCTCCTTCCACAAGCAACTGCAGGTGCCATATTGATTGTAGTGTTTTCATAACCATTTACCATGCGCCACCATGTTTATTCAGTCCCTATCATTTGTGAAGGTGTCATGGGTGAAGTTTGTGAATGACATACCCTTAACGTAACACGTCCAACCTGCCAAGAATATAAAGGCTTGTGTTTGATCATTAAAATTGTGGGCTAGGGGCATATGCCCCAACCTTTGTGCATCGTATTGCCTGATGTTGCATACAGTGGTGGTTTTGGGGAACACATATATCACATTAGAGCAGAAATGTTTGCACATATGCAAAAGGGCAAGGAGTGAGGCAGGGCATGTGCAATCGTGGGGGACAGGGTCAATATGACACTCACCCATGTGTTCCATGAATGATGCCGGTATTGATTACAGATGCTAAGCCCACTGTGCCGAGCCTTTTTTATGCATTCCCATGTGAATCCTCATGGCAGACGTGTGAAATGCACATTGCTATGTAGGGCGAATGCTTCTGGCCCGCTCTTGATGCAACCACCACGTGAGTGAAACCACCTTCCATGTGAAACGTCCATTAGTCGCCACTCAGGGTGCTGAACCCCCTGCTCCTTCAGGTTCCTCCCCACCCAGCCTTCCCCTGCATCATCCCCAGCTGGTACTCTGTTGGAATAGGCAGTTCTCATTGGCTCTAACCCATGGGAGGCCCTCATGCCTCTTTGCTTCTGGAAAGAACTGGCTTCAGAAGGTGGCCCCAATATGGACACTCCTGACCCTTTGCAACCCGTAATCTCTCTTCTACCGGAAGAAATGAAATGATTTATTGGGTCAATAACTTGAGGACAATGAATTGGGCCTATGGCTGCAGTTTCTACTTTTATTTTTTCTCTTCCCTGGTCCCCAGGCAGTGAAGCCCCTCCACACCCCAGTTCTAATCTGGGGGGGGGATCTTTGCCTCCCAGGCCCCATCTGAGTCTGACATGTACAGGATGGTTAGACGTTGTATCTTGAGATTCACTGAGTAGGTCCATCTGGCTCTGACTCTAAGCTACATCCTCTTCCTTAAGATTCATCTTTAATCCAGAGGATAATTTGGACTCCATCTTTCACTTCTTAATATTTTATCAAAATTTGGGTAGGGAAGACAGGTGTTAGTTATGAAGCCCATCAAACTCCCAGACAACTTGCATGTCTTTCAATTTGCAGCTAAGAAGACTGAGACTTCTGGGGGGGGGGGGAGGCAGGGGGCAGACTAAGTTTGATTCATATCATTAAGAAGGAAATGAATCCAATATGTGAGGTAAAGTCTGGCATCTCCGTAGCCTGAACTTTAGCCACCTTATTGATTTTTTAAAAAACGTGTTTGCTTCTTAGCTTGAATACCTGTTTTAGCCTAGAATAAAATGTGTTCAGCAAGTCATTAGCAGATTTGGCTAAAAAAGAAACATTCATTTGCAGACAGACACCATGGAGAAAATAAAAGACTTTTTCAATATGATCTGGACTTTGAAACCCTGAACGTGTATGAATAGAGAAATGGTGTTGCTCTGGGTGTTTTTAAAGCGGCCGATGATGATTCATTGCAGGTCCGTGTCTGTGTGTTTCATCGAGGCTGAGTGCTATGTCACGGTTCCGAGCTCCGTTCTTAGGCAAGCCTGGCTCCTGCCCTGGCCCCTAGCGCGGGTCAACCTGCTGAGGCACAAAGAAAATCCCAAGCGCAGAGCTAAAATAGATTTTGAAACAGTGTCCCATTGAGGATCACATTATCATTCATCTATTCGTTACAAAAGAGGGTGCTTTATATTCCCTCCCGAGCGAAACAGACCAAGTACAATACCGTATTGTTCTCAGCTGTTGGTTTGTTGTTTTTTAATGAAACCAGAAATGTGTGTTAGGCCAGCCTAGCAAAAGACGGGAACATCTCAATTTATCATAATATTGTGCAGGCTCAGGAAGGCCAAAATATAACATAGGCTCACAATAGAAACGCGCGCATGTATGCTGACTGGGCAAGTCCAGGAAACAATGTGTGAGGGGTTTGGGGCTTTGTTTTGTTCCGTGTTTGTGTCCCCGCTGCCTCGGCAGATCCTCTTAGGGGATCAGGTGTGTTAATGAACTCATCAGGCGAGCCTTGGGCCAGGTGGTGATTTTCATGTTTACCTGTTCTGGTCCTATTTTTATGTCCAGCGTCCTGGATTCTATTGGGTTCAATGCTCAGAAACAATTAGTAACTATGAACCGTGGAACCCAGGTGGCATCTCTCAGCCTCGGTTTCTCATGGCCCCACATGGCTCCAGTAACAACAAGGAGTTTCTTCCAAACGTAGCCTGAGGCTTGTATCCCAATGAAATGAGCTCTAGCTGCTGATCAAATTTCAGGGGTCGAATTGGGTTCCAAAGGAACTGACTTCTAAGAAAGGGTGTCCTGTGGAATAGTGTGCGGAGGGAGCTTCAAAGAGTGGAGACACCCCATTTTTCTCCTCTGGAAGGAGAACAGGGTATATCAGGTATTCTGGAAGAACTGTAGTTCTAGGGATGTGAAACTACACTTTGAAAAATGAGAAAAGTACACTTGTGATATGGTGGAAAACAGCATGGCGTTTGTTTAAATTTTTTTAGATCTTTATTGTTGAAGGTATGACATATGTCTCCCTCCTTAACTCCTTTTGGCCCACCCCTGCCTTCTCCACCCTGTTGTCTGTGTCCCTGAGTTATGCCTACAAGCTCTGTGGTTGATGGCTTTCCTCCCCCACCCACCTTCCCTCTGAGATTCCAGTCTGTCCCCTGCCTCCAGCAAGATAAGTTTGTGTTCATGTCCAAGTCAAGCACTTATTGGCGAAGTGACCTTTCTCGGCTTTTGCTCATCTGAAAAATGGAGTTGTTTGGTTTGTTGTAAGGTGTAAAAGGCATATGAAATTGTTATCAGGGTGCTAATACGTATTAGTCTAGACATATTTTTCCTGAACTCAGAAGAGAGGTGATGAAATATTCTAAGACTTAGAAAGAACTCTGATTGAGCAAGTATATTTTTTTAAATGTACTTTTATTGATTTCAGAGAGGGGGAGAGAGATAGAAGCATTCATGATGAGATAGAATCATTGATTGGCTACCCACAACCCAGGCATGTGCTCAGTGCTCAACCACCGAGCCAGGCATGAATAGGCATTTTAAAGAAATGAAAAGCAACATCGTGTCCTTGTAGTTAAAGAAATAACTTTCAAAGCAGCTGTCTGTGAGCTCCTTCCACTCCTGCAGGCTGGCATGGGGAGGGCTCCTGGACCCAATGCGGTGCTTGTAAATGTTTCTGCAAAGAGATAAGAGAGCTTTTTAATTAGGATATTAAATAGTCACAAAGGGAAAAATACAGCCTCCACTGAGCGTCTGTCGCTTCCATGATATTAATTTGCTTTATGTGTTATCTTTTCACAGATATTGCAGAAGTTAATTTCGCCAGACTCCTTTAGCACGTTAAACTATTCAAAATTCAGAATAACTGTACTTCAAGTAAATTAACTTTGGGCGTATTGAGTTTAATATCAAGTTCTTTTTTGCACAAGTATAAAGAGGCAGTGGCCACTTGCAAATTTAAAATTCTACTTCCCTAGTGTGATGTGTCTCCTCCCCCCACCCCCACCCACACAGCGAGGAGTTGCTTCTGGCTTTCTTTTAACTTATGCTAAAAGAGTAAGAAACAACACATATGTTCCTGAAAACAAAACAGCACAGTTAAAGGGAACAAATGTGTTTACTTTAACGTTTCATTGTTCTTTTCTGTGATGTCTTTTTATCTTACAGGCATATGTTTGTGCTGCTCATAGAATAAGAATGTCCTTCTTTAAAGCGTAAAACCAAGCCTAAGTTTGGAAAATCTCTATAGTAGCACAGATTATAACACTCTAACTTGATAAAGACTTTCAAAACCATCAATTTATAAAAGGCAAGAATTTCCCCAGGTATGCTCATGGTTTGCTTAGCTGCTAATAAATGTTTGGTGCGGAAGAGGTCTCACGGTCCAATACGATTAGGAAAGACTTGACTTAAAAAGATAAGTGTGCTTTGCAGGACTTACAAGATTCTTTAACCTGCTAACATGCATGGGGATTCTCGGAGCATCAGATACAGTGTGTGGTATTTCTCAGGTTCTTCCTTGATCAGCAAAGCTTTGCATTGAGCATCTGTATAGCAGATCTCTGGGCCTTCGGTGGGGCAGGAGCTGGGGGGAGCGGGGCAAGAAGGAAGAAAAGGGGGAACATCTGTAACACTCTGAACAAGAAAGGTAATACATTTTTAAAAACTCATAAAAATTCAAATCATCCAAAAAGTTTTCTCTTCTACATTAGATTCATTTGAAAATGTCTCTATGTTGAGATAAGTGTTGCTTTAACTTTATTTATTTAATCTGTGGTTGTTTTGTTTGGGGTTGATTTGGCTAGTTCTCTAGGAAAAACCAGGAGTGCTATATGCATGGAGAAACTTTCACTAGGAGAGTTACTTGCAGTCATTTTTAACACTGAGTTCCCCCCCCCCATTAGGTATAATTGGAGACACAACGGCAGTGTATAACTCACAGGGGTGGAGCAGCTTCGCTTCTGGGAGGGGCCTGGACCTAGAGCCCTATCTCCATGGCTTCCCTGTTGGTCCCTGCGGTGAGTTTGCCTTAAGGATCTCCTGCAAGTCACAAGGTATGGCTGACAAGGTTTGAGACCCGTGTGTGCAGAGACAGTTCTAGAACATGGAAATGGGAGGGAGGGAACTGAAGGGAGAATTGCTTGGCTCGGGGAGTCTTCACTGCCTTAATGGGATAATAATATGTGCTTGATCCCCTTGGGGATGATGGGAATGGGCAAATGGATGACTATAAAATATCCTGCAGTTTGTTTTCCAAGTCTTATTGGCAAATGCAGTACTTGAATCCGTTGAGATGCGTTATTTCTCTTCAGGATGTGTGTGGGAGAACGAGATAAAAGGAATATAGGAAATGTGCAAAAGAGAGATTTTAAAGTAGCGAGGCCTCTATTTGCTCAAGCACAGAAAAGCTTACGCTGCTTTTGGGGACAGAAATGTAGCTTGGAGATCGGAAGCAGACAGTGTTGCCGTATGTGGGGTGCAGAGTTTGGGTTGGGGTGGAAATGGAATGTATATGTAAATTAACGGAGCTGTAAAAACATATTAATATCCAAGGCAAACTTTTTGAGAGGGGAAGGCCATCAGGCGCACCCAACCACTGCAGTTGACATTTTCAGTTATGACAGCACTTACTTCCACGCCATAATCCCAAAGGACTCATTTTTGAATGCATTGAAATTACACATTAGCTTTTTCCATCTTTCCAATTTAGGAAAGAAAGCATTTGAAAAATAAAACAACCTTATTAGAATCTAAACACACCTACATAATGGGAGAAAAAATGATTAATGTTAGTGAGAATAATGAAGTAGAATGGAAAAATGTATAAGAACTTTAAGAAATAACTATTAAGCTTCAGAAATTAATGAAAAAAATGCCAGAGAGAACCAAAGGGGCTGCAGGTTCACCCAAGGTATTGAGAAATGCTTTGAGGTCCTTCAAATGCTTCTCTTCAGTTCAGTGCTGTCTGTGAGGATTTGCCAGTGAACTTCCTGCAAGTTGAAGCTAGTTCTCTTGCTAAAGAAAATAAAAGAACCTGAGAAATATTTTTATACCTTTCTTCATCACAGTTATTTTTTGATATTGCATTCATGCTTAACCTAAACGAGCTTGGAAATGTGAACTCACTCCTGAGAAACCGAAAGAGAGTAGGCTTCAAGGTTGGTTTGATGGAAAGTGTACCAGGGCTGTTAGGGTCACCGCAGGAGGAACTCATGAGGCCAGACGTGGTAAGGGGTTATAAAGGTATTAGGTTGTCTGCATGCCAGATGGCCTGAGCCCCAAAATGGTGCCAGCACGCAGGGATGGGGAATCAGAGGTTTTAAAGGACCCTGGGTAGGCTTTTTTGGGGAAGGAAACTCTCTGGGCTAGTCCAGATCCTGGGAAAATCTGGAGGGGAGAAATAGTGGTCGGCACATGCAGCTCTTTGGCCCTTTGAGTGTGGCTCTTACACAAAATACCACGTGTGGGCGCGCATGTACAGTGCGAAATTGACTTAAAACTTTAAGTTTATTAAGTTAATTTTAGGGAACGTTGTGGAGTGAAAGAAGATGTAGTGTCAAGGATTGAGAAAGGTATGTTGAGATGGTTTGGACATATAGAGAGGATGAACGAAAGGAGATAGATGAAACAAGTATACAAGATAAGTGTGGATGGGAGAGTTGGAAGGGGTCAACCTCAGTGAATGTACCTCAATGAGATTGAGGACGTTTTTAGCAAAGGCCAGCTTAGGAGGACCCTAATTAAGTTAATAACAATGTACCTGCCTATATAGTTTAAGTTTAAAAAATTTGGCTCTCAAAAGAAATTTCAATCTTTGTACTGCTGACTAATGAGTTTGCCAACCACTGGTCTAAGCGAAAGGGAACGTCTGCTGTCAAGTGGTCTAAAGATCATTCCCCGGGGAAGGGGGTGCCCGTTCAATTATTTGATCAGACCTAATAGGCTGCAAATCTTATTTCTCAGGCCTTTCTCTGAAGATTAGCTTTTCTCCTAGCATCAGTGGAACCATCTGCATGCTTTCCTGCTTAAATCAAGAGGGGAAGAGGGAGCACTGTCCTTCGAGGAATGTGACACTGTTCCCGAGGGTCTAGACCAGTGGTTCTCAACCTTCTGGCCCTTTAAATACAGCTCCTCATGTTGTGACCCAACCAAAAAATTATTTTCATTGCTACTTCATAACTAATGTTGCTACTGTTATGAATCGTAATGTAAATATCTGATATGCAGGATGGTCTTAGGCGACCCCTGGGAAAGGGTCGTTCGACCGCCAAAGGGGTTGCGACCCACAGGTTGAGAACTACTGGTCTAGACGGAAATGCATGCATGTAGTTGTGTTATTTCTCAGTGTATTATTCCAGAGAGTGTGTGAGGATGCACGCTCCCATTACTTATGGGACAGTCAGGAAGGCTCATGAGTTTAACCAGTGGGAACAAGTCTATCGCTACTCAAAAGAAAGTTTCCACAATGTGCAGGGTGGATTAGGACATGCATATTGAAGATTAAGAGGCCAACTTGACAAGAATTTTCAAAGCCGTTGAAGGTGATCCAGTTTTGCTAAGTCATTGGAGAATCTGCTTTGATCAGGAGAGCTCAGTAATGCATGGCATTAAAGCTTTGAATAAGAAACAACACTAGGAAACAGCACATCCAATCCTGTTTTCTTTTAAATTCCATATATGTTGATACCAAAAATAATACATGCAACATATATGTATGTTATGAAGAAAAACAATACAGTGAACAGCTGAAATTCAGTCAATTTAAAAACCAGAATGCTATCATTAATACCACTGGGTTTCTCCCTACGTGATGCAATTTTCCCAGCTCTTTCCCAATATACTTAATCTATGGCTTTTCTCTCTTACTTATTTGCACCCACACACAGTCTTAAAACATGGTTTAGTATCATTGTTTCTGAATCTATTAAATATAGTACCATACTATTTATGTTTATGTTGCAAGTTCTATGGCTAACAATGTTCACTAAAGATATATTCTAGAATTTAAGAGCAGCACTATTCACAACAGTCAAAATTGGGCACTATATCCTAATGCTCTCTTGCAGACCAACATTAGAATGCAGCACACATACACATGCAGCAGAATAAACTACAAACACTCTACAACTGCATCCAAAAGTGATTTTGAATCTCCTAATCAAAATATTTAAGTAAAAGTATACCTACTTTATATAAATGGAACTGGATAGTACCAAATATAAAGAGGGGTTATTATTTGGTAATAATGTTAATGTAGAATCCATAAAATTATGACTGTTCCATACTGATTATGATCCAGTATTTTATGGGAACTATTTTGAAAGGCTGTTTTCAGGAATAATGTATGGAGAAAGCCATGGGTTTAAAAAGTTCTCTGGTCAGACAAGTTTCATCCAATCAGAAACTCCTAACTCACTTCTTTTTTGAGTCTCAAGTAAAAAGAAATATTCTTCTCTCTCTTTCTGCAGTAGACAGCAATTGCCCACGCCTTTCCAAATATACTATATACACTTTTTACATCCCTTACATTAATTATTTGAAATGAAACAAAAGTGCTATGTTTAATGTTCTTGTAAACAACAGCACTGAAGGAATGGATAGTGGCTTTGTGTAATACCTTATCTAATACTAGAGGCCCGGTGCACAAAATTCGTGCACGGGGTGGGGGGGGGTCCCCTCAGCCCAGCCTGTACCCTCTCATAATCCTGTACTGCTGGCTCCTAACCTCTCACCTGCCTGATCGCCCCCAACTGCCCCCCCACCCGCCAGCCTGGTCACCTCTCACTGCCCCCCCTGCAGCCTGGCCACCCCACACAACCTGCTGTTTGGTCGTCCCTCACTGCCCCACCCCCCACTGGCCTGGTCACCCCTCACTAACCCACCTGCCAGCCTGGTCGCCCCACACAGCCTGTTCAGTCGCCCCACACAGCCCGTTCAGTCGTCTGTCTGGTTGTTTCGATCGTGATGGCCCTTGGCTCTTTATATATATAAATGAATAAGTCTTGATGCTTGAAAATTGGTGAAAAGACATCCACCTTCTATTCATAGCTCAAATTAGCCTACAAAGCTTAACTAGACTCTATAAATCAATTCAAAAGTAAAATATATTTATTCCACTTGTGCAAAATGATATACCAATTTTTTTTCACCCACAGAAAAAGAAATATACCAGCAAATTCTGCATTTTGCAAAAATTCTCTGTTAATGTAGAGTCCATAAAAATTTGCATGTTATAGAAGAAATTTCCTAAATAGCAGTAATGAACTTGAGGTTCTGGATTGTTTTAGAACAAGAGCTAATTTACAGAAATTAGTAACACGTGCCGTTATGCCAGGCTGTGGTAAATTGTTTCTGTCAAGGTCCAGCAAGGAAATGTGTTTGGTTTTGTGGATTATACATGCTCAGTGGCCACTGCTCAGCCAATGTTGCCTTTGTAGTAGGAAAGCATCCCTAATTAATATGTACACAAATGGGCATGGCTGTGTTCCAATAACTTTACTTAAAAATTACGAGACAGGCAACTAGATTTGGCCCCTGGGCTGTATCCCTGTCCCCTGTTTAGAATGTTTCACTTCTATAATTTTG